GTGAGTGAAATAATGATGAGCTATCTTAAAAGTAGGGGTAGGGTCCTTCCATTTCATTCTGCCCCTGATAGCACCTTGGCCGGACCCAGCACAACAAACCAAAGGCCCTGCCCTCTCTCGCCCTCCCAGCCCACCACACATACACTCACTGACACAGGACACCAGACAGCTTGGAGATCAGGAGGTCCCTTCAGTTCAGATCCTATACCAGGAACCTAATGGGAGCCTATTCTAGTGAGATCTATGGCTTTGACCTGGGCCTCCCTCTTTTTCCCCAATAATAATTCTTCCTCCCCTACTCAGTGGCCAATTAGAAGTGCCCAGATGTGTCTAGCTAGACTCTGTCAACTAATTTTAAAGTTTATATCAGAGAGGGATCAGCAATAACCCATTACCTTCCCACCGTCCCCTCGGTGCTGCTGTTCCGTTTCATACGTGCCTGCCAGTCCAGATACTGCCTCTTACCCTCATGCCCTCCTTCTACATGAAATCTCTCACATTCCCCACTGCACACTGCACACCAGTGCGTGCACACATCCCAATATTTCACATGCATACCCTTGGGCTCTTCCCTATAGCAATCCTTTATTTGAGCAATAAAGGCACAAAACTCACAGGGACATAGATTTCTCAAGTTCCTGACTGTGATGAATTAGCCAATTGCCACTCCTCAATCACAATCCTACATCCTTATAAAAGGAACTCCCCAAGTGCTCTAATCTAACTCCCAAATTTTAACTGCTTTCCCTCACCTCCCCCACCATCTGCCCAATCAGAAAGAATTTCTAACAGCTACCCCCCCCCCCCCCGAATATTAAACCATTCATCACAACACACACACACACACACACACAACAAAACAACAACAAAAATCCAACACAGGTTTAGCTAAAACAGGGCTTGTAGACTCAGCCTGGGTCCAGAGGAACACACTCATACAAGTGTGCATGCATGCAGACACGGACACCCCCAAGAAAAAAGATGAGTGAGTTGAATTCTGTTTTACGTATCTGTGTGTGTAATTTTGAGACTTGTTGTGGTGTATTTTTTTATCTATGTTTAACAAATTAACAAGGGCATTTTGACTAAAGCAGATCAACGCGAGTCCACACACACACATACACATCTACAGCCACAGTGAGCAGTTTACCAACGTACCTCGTCACCGCCCAGCGCAGCTCCTGCTCCGTCTGAAGGGTGACCTGGCAATAACCGCAGAGACTCACACAGTCCACAGAGAGCAACCTCAGCCCTGGTAACTGGTCACTGTGCTGGTTAATGGGTTTCAGATGCAAATGACTGCACAGCTTTCATTCCCGGGATCAGATTTACTAGTTAATTAGTAATCATAGTCCAGCCCTGGGAGAACATCCCTGAGGGCTTGGAGTGAGCTGTGGCCACCTGACTCCCCTCAAGCCCTCTGGGCACTGAATGCTATTCAGCTGGGAGGGCACTCCATGTGCCTCGTGAAAGAGCACAGACTGACTCAATGTGCAGACAGATGATAAAAGGCAAAATATAAATGACACCAGTGTCCTAATGAGCCCCCCCTTCCCCCCATCCCCCCGCCCCCCCCACCTCTCAGGGACCCCTAAGCTCCCAGAAACCCAGTGACACTTAGTCATGCAATCAGCTGATTTGTGTTTAAAGGAAATACTTTCGAAAATGTTTCAAAATAGTGTCTTTTTTCCTTGCCTCTGTGGAAGTGTCTTTTGGCTTTGCTCTGCGTGGAGGATCTTTGGCAGCCTGGTGGAGACTGGTGGAGAGGCCCACTCCGCAGCAAAGCCCACGTGGGCCGTACATTTGGTATTACCTCAAAGGCTCAGCAAGTCTGGCTCCTTATTTCACAGATGAGGAAGCCAGGACCCAAGAATTTCGTGAGGTTTGCATGAGTGTAGAGACTAAAAGGTCCAATCTCAGGTGAGGCAGAGCTGAATTCAAAGGCCAGTCCTGCTTACCAGCTGGGGCAGCAGAGCCAAAGAAGCAGCAGTTTCCTCAAGTTCATGACCATAAAAATCGTTACCTATCCAGTTACATCGTAAAGATTAAACAAAATAATGCAAGTGAAAGATTTGGTTTTACATAATAACTACTCAGTAAGTGTCAGTGATAATAATAGTTATTGTTAAGCATCTGCCACAGCTATGAATGGACTCCCACCCCAAGGCACCTCAACTATGACACTATTTCCTTCTCTGCTAAGTCAGGATTCCCCCATCGGTAGGTACTCATCAATGTCTCATAAAGAAAACCTCTCTAGCACTTTCGTTGTGCAGGGCTCAGTACTACCCACACCTGTGATGCTGCCTGGCTGAAGCAGGTTAAAAGTTTAGCCCCTGGCTTTAAAAGAGAGATGATTCAGGCCGGACCAGTGAACAAGGTATGCGGTGCCTAAAGTGAGTGGTTTGCTGTCCTGGTGACCTGGCCTTCCCTGGGCAGGAGGATGATCCCGGCAAATGTGAGAATCAGTAATGTGATGACAAAGCCTCCCGTCCCCATTCCTTACTCAGATCTCATGATCCCATATCTGGGTCATGTATCCGCTGCTTCTCCACTTCTACCCCCTGGGAACACAACAATAGCCTCTTACTAAACATCAGTCAATTCAACATATAGTTATTATATGTGTACTATACACAAGGTGCTATCCGAATAGCAATAATAGTAACATTTCTGAAATGCTTACTAGGGCCTGTGTATTATGTTGAGTGATTCACACACAAGGTTCCATTTCCTCCTCATAACCACACTATGAGGTACACTGAGAGAAATTTTCCCAAGGTTATCCTATATAATAAAAGGCTAATATGCAAATTGACTGAACAGCAGAACAATCAGTTGCTATGATGCGCACTGACCACCAGGGAGCAAATGCTCAACGCAGGAGCTGCCCCCTGGTGGTCAGTTCACTCCCACAGGGGGAGCACCACTCAGCCAGAAGCTGGGCTCAAGGTTGGTGAGTGCAGCAGCAGTGGTAAGAGCCTCTCCCACCTCCCAACAGTGCTAAGGATGTCCGACTGCTGGCTTAGGCCCGCTCCCCGTAGGAAGCCGTCAATCGGACATTCCCTGAAGGCTCCCGGACTACAAAAGGGCACTGACTGGGCTGAGGGACCCCCTCCACCACTACCCCCGGAGTGCACAAATCTCGTGCACTGCGCCTCTACTGTAATTAATAAGAGGTGAAACCCGAATGCAAACCCAGGCAGTCTGCTCAAGCATGAACTTGAACACAAAAACACAAATGTGAGTGATACCTCTGAAATAGGAACTTTTAGGAGTGAAAAAGGCAAGTTTAGGGAATTTTTTAAATTAAGGGGGTCCATGAAAAAAACACAGGGTTGCAAAAGGTTACATTTCCATAAGACAAGGAGCAGGGAGCCAGCAGAAGTTACATTTCCATATAAGACAAGGGAACCGGGAGTAGCCAAAGGTCTATATTTACAAAATAAAGGAGGGCCTCACAAGTCCCATGTGACATTTGACCTTTGAGCTCAGAAGTTGCTATAGTGACTAAATCAAAGGGGAATGGTAGCCAATCAGAGGGGATATCGAGGCACAAAAACTGCAGTCTTTATAAACCGGGAAAAAGGAACTTGGTGGGACTCTTTCCCCCTCCCCACACGGGAGTCTGTGCTGTGAGATTCTTTCCCCTTCCCCACGTGGGAATCTGTACTTATTCTTCAATAAATTTCCACCTTTGCTATACCATCTTCCATCCGTGGATTCATTCTTTGATTCTGACGGACAAAGAATCCAGGGAAGCCATCCTTCCCAGGGGAACACCACGTGTTCCAGTCCAAAAATCCCATATCACCTCGACATCCTCACCCCAAGGGAATGTAAGAAGTCACATGACTGTGATACAACAGAAAGACAGCACTGACAAATGCTATTGGAAAAATAACACACACAATGGGGAGGGACAGAAAAGAAAGTCTAGATAGATGGGAATGAAAAAGGAAGGGGGACAGGAAAGACAATGTGGGCCAAGGGATCAGCATAAATAAAGCACAGAGGCAAGGAAGATCAATTTGTGTTGATGTTTCTCCTTTTCTGAACTACTGGGGTGATAGTATATCCCAGAACACATTGTTCTATTTTATAGGTAGGCATACCCCAAAGTGCTAAAAGGGATGCTAGCTGCTCCTCAAGTCCCTGCCAGCTGAGTTCTCCCAACTCTTCCCAAAGCCAGACCCCTTGAGAAGCCTATTCTGACCAGTGAGTGGGCCGAGAAGGGACAGTGTGTGTTCTCATCCTCCTGGCACTGAATAAAATCCATTTAGGAAATAAGATACTCATCCGTCTGGACTTCACTAGCAATAGGCTGTGGGTGGGTTCGATGACCCTAAAAGTCTATTCATCTGAAACAGTTGACTATGACATTGAAATCAAGATAAATCTTTTTCTTTTTTGCATAGTGTTTCACTGTTAAATTTTCAGATGGTGATTTAGTAGTTCCCTGAGTTTGAAATGAAACTCGCCTGAACTTTGCTATGCAAGTCTCTACTTGCTACAGGCCTTGGGCAGTCATTTAGATTTTCTGTAGCTCAGCCGCTTTCTCTGTGTATTAGATGTGATCATATGCACATCATAGTCAGTTTTCCAGTCCTGTCCCAACCTGTCTTTTCTAAAAATAAAGTCAAACAAAATCTAGCAAGCAATGTCATTAGCTTAATTTCTGTTAAGAATTGTTTCTCCAGTTCATCAACTCCCAGAAACAGCCGCACTAGCTTGGGCTGGAGGAGGGGGTCTCTTCCATCCATGGACCACTGATAGACAAGCAGAGAGCATCAGAGCTTCCTACACTGAGCTAATTCTACAGGCCAAGGGAGGAAAGCCAGGCCTCGCCCATCACTTTGTTCTTTGTGGTTCTTCAGCGCGCTCTCTCTCTCCTTCTCCACACACACTATATCACTCTCACCACACACATCATCGATACCGCTTCCTGTCACAAATCACCTCTCACAGTTTCCATAAAGCCTACAAACTTTAAATTGTACCTCTTTCCTTTATTGCAGCCACGTTGGTTTTTCTTCCAAATATAAGCCCTTCACATCAGAGGCTACCTGGAAAGGGAGAAATGGAGTTGCTTGGGGCAGGAGTAATTTTTCTGCCCAGAAATGTCCAGAGGAAGGTAGGCATAGAAGCTACTTTCACTGATCATTGCAACATTTCCTTCTCTTGTGAAATATCTACCTGGTATGATTCAGCAGTTTTACACTGCCTTCTATCCTTCCCTACCGGTAACCTCCATAGACAGAAACACATGGGCACACATGTGAGTCCAAGGAGAGAGTTATTAGCAATAATACATTACCTGCTATCACATGTTGGTAATAAAACTCAACATTTGTAGAACACCTTGCAGTTTTTAGAGCATTTTAATCTACATCAGCTCTTTAATCGCAACCCTATGTGACAGAGCAGGTATTTTCAATCCCCATGTATAAACAAGGAAACAGAAACTAAGAACAATGACTTGCTAAAGGTCATTCAAGTAACAGCATAGTCAAACGTATACTAATTTAATTTTAATCTAGTAATCTAATGTGCATGAAGCCTGAAGTCAGTAAATCCAGAAATTGCTTTATCAGCCTAATATTTGTTCATTTATTTTAAAAATTCAAAGTTCACTCTCCACTATGTCTCCCAAAGTGGAAACCCTCTGATCCTGTCAGTTATCAAATTCTACCATCCTCACCTCACAGATGGCTACTTCCCTTTAAGCCCAACTCGTGTACTAGAGATTCCCATCATTTCCTCCATGGCTCCCCTCCCCCACACCCAGAGAACACCTGCCCACTCCCATAAGGGAGCCCAGCATAACCCTAACCCACTGGGCACAGGAGATTGAACGAGTACTGGACAGTTGACCCAACCTGGATTCTCCCTCCCAAAAATTAGGATTTGGAACCAAGAGTCTGAATCATGCCACATTGGGCACCAAGTCTATGGGATCACGTCATAGTATTGAGAGGCAGAAATCAAAGAATTTTACTGAAAATACTTGTTTCCCCAGCAGAGAATGGAACAGACATGTAGAAATTAGCAGAAACAAGAGACCATTCAAACCCAAAGAAGGAAAGTCAGAGAGCCTATTTGCCAGTATTTTTTCTATTTCTGGAAGGCCAGTGTACAACTGAATTTCATGTAATTCTTGAAATTCCTGCTTCTTGACCGAAATACTACCTCTGCTATTACTATCACCATCACTTCTACTACTAACCATCACCACCACCACCACCATCATCGTCTTCATCATCATCCTTTCTATCACCCAATTTCTGTGAGTTTCTCTGCCTAGTAACCATGCTAGCCCTGCTCTTATAGGCTCTCATTGTCTCCCTTTGTCCAGTGGAAATATCTTCACCAAAAATCTCTAACCACTCCAGCAGAACCTACAAGCAACACATATCCTCCTGTGATCTTTGTTTTGCTGTCTTTTACAGTCACTTGCAATTGTAGGACCTTCAAATCCCCACAAAGGTTCTGAATTGTTTGGCATCCCCTTAGAACTGTATGTCTTAGGTCAGGACACATTAACCTAGGGCAGTGATGGCGAACCTATGACACGCTTGTCAGAGGTGACACGCGAACTAATTTTTTTGGTTGATTTTTCTTTGTTAAATGGCATTTAAATATATAAAATAAATATCAAAAATATAAATCTTTGTTTTACTATGGTTGCAAATATCAAAAAATTTCTATATGTGACACGGCACCAGAGTTAATTTAGGGTTTTTCAAAATGCTGACACGCCGAGCTCAAAAGGTTCGCCATCACTGACCTAGGGCTATATGGTGACTCACTGAGAGGTACATAATACATCTACTTGGGAGTTCAATTTAAACCAAAATTCATTGGAGAAGAGCAAGTAATTTGAATCAATATTTGGAATTATGAGAAATGTAGCAATATAATGTAATAGCATGCAAATTTGCATGAGTTTTTTTTCAACATAAAAACCTAAGATTTACAGAAATTTCCCTATGTAATGAGCCCCTGGTAAGTATGTTTCTCCTGATCTCCCACCTCAGGGGGAAAATATGAAAGAAACATCATAGGAAATGTCTTCAAGGCACTGACAATGTCTTACAGCAGTGGTTCTCAACCTTCTGGCCCTTTAAATACAGTTCCTCATGTTGTGACCCAACCATAAAATTATTTTCGTTGCTACTTCATAACTGTAATGTTGCTACTGTTATGAATTGTAATGTAAATATCTGATATGCAGGATGGTCTTAAGTGACCCCTGTGAAAGGGTCGTTTGACAGCCAAAGGGGTTGCGACCCACAGGTTGAGAACCGCTGTCTTACAGCCACACATAGACTCTATCGTGGTAGCTCTCTTCTGTGGCTCAGCCTCTCCCCCCAACCTACTCTCTGTCTACTCTGCTTTCTGTGAATCACCATGTCCACACTATTTCCCCTGTCTCTGCTAGATAGAGAGCTTCAAAGGGCCAATCCTGCACCATGTTCTCTTGCTTTTTTATGTTAGAGAGAAACAGAACAGGAGTGGTTATTGTTCAATGTCTTCCAGCTCCATCAGCTTTTACTTAAAACCTCCTCTTCTTTAATTCATGTTAATAGACAAAATGAAGTTTAAGAAGAGGTCCAGAGCTCCCCGTAAAGGAATCTCTACCTACAGGTCCTTGCTGAGGAAAGTAATCTGATGGATGCCCCTAGTCCCAAGATTCCATGTTGGTTCTAAAGCTGACTATACCGGAGATGGGCACCTAATGCAAAGACAGCCAATCCTTAAATTGGCCTGCATCTTACGAAGCAGCTTGCTCTGTGACCACTAGATGACTCGATTCCATTTCTAAATGTGAGTCACAGGAGATCAATTAGTCATTGATGAATTAGCAGGATCAATTAGTAGCAACAGCAAAATCTAAGGATGTAGAGACAGAAAGAAGAGCTGTGTGAGATAATCTTTAACCTCATCTCCCCATATGAGTACCGCTAAGCCTACCTCCTTTTGACTATTATGAATGGACAAAATATGTTTTAAAACACAGGAAGCAGAAACAACCTTCCTTTTGTTTTCATTCCTGCACTTTCTGTTTCCTGCCTCTTTGTGATAAGCAAGCCTAGACAGAGAGCAGGCTGACCTTCTCCCCATCCCACTTCCTGGTGTCATGCTTAGACGGGCAAATGGATTCAGGCCCTTCTTACCAGCAAATTATCAGTTAGCAACTGCATGCAGTATTAGTGGCCCAAGCACTGTGACTTCAAGACATAAAAAAGATTACCTTTCAACCATAATAAGCAGCCTGGAACACAGAGTTGCTGGTGTGGTTTCAAGTACCCAAAAGATGTCAGGGCGAGAGCTTTGAAATTCTCTCGATTTTCCCTCATGGGTGAAGCTCCAGCATAACATCTGCATTTGGGCACAGGAAGAAGAAAAGGCAACAGGGGCTTTCTGAGAAATCCGCCCAATAACTTCTTGAGTCTCATTGGCCATGCTGATCTGAAAGAAAGATAAGAGATGAGTTTAGTATTAGCTTAGAATACTGATTTACCGAACAATGCAGTTCTGTTAGTAATGAAAAGGAGAGAATGATATTGTGTAGGCAATTAGCAACATCGCCCATGAACAGAATGGCAAGTCGGATGTGTAGACTCTGCCTACATCCACTGAATGTTCCAACCCAACTTATTTGTGTGCTGCTTTAGCTTTTAATAAAATAATACCCTACACTCCAGTTCACTGCTGCTCTCTTCAGGTAACAGGAGTGATTGACAGAGCTGGATTGGGAAACTCCTGGGACTCTTTTCTCCACATCCTCACCAACACTTGTTTTCATCTGTCTTTTTTATAACAGCCACTCTATCATGTGTGAGGTGGTACCACTCGACAGTTTCCCCCTGCCCCCACCTTGAGGTATATAGCACATCTTAGCACTCTTTAGTTCCTCTTATACCCTTTTGTTTACCAGTGTGTCTTCAGTGCTCATCACAACATCTGATATATTATGTTCTTGATAAATGCCATCTAATATATTCATTGGATATATTTAAGCAAGTCATTGGAAACACTTAAGCAAGGCATCCTAAAGGAACGAGGTTTGATATTACTAGTAACAGTGCCTTTATGTCAAGCTAACCAATAGCAATTTTTAAAAACCAGTCCAAAGAATTCATTTCCAAAATTCAAAAAATAAATGGCAGCAAAAGTCCAAACACATATATTTTATGCAATTTTTAACATCCATTTATTTGCAAAATTCCAATGACTGCAACTTTTTATCACATCTGATGAGGTGTTTGTTCCTGCCACTGCTCTTAGCACTGCATTAATTGAGCTGTTCTTAGCTTCCTGAGAGGAGCAGTTTTCAAAAAACAGCCAGATGGTAAATACCATCCACACAGGTTTTTTATATAATTGCAAACACCATGTGTACATAAATTAAATGGAGGGGGAAACCTATGAGGGTTTTTGCTACTTCTCTCTAAAAGAACTATTGAGTATTGAAAGATTATGGTGAGATTTGCTATTCACAATAAATCACTTAGCTCAATGATTTTATTGATTCTTTACATAAAAGGTTATAATCTTTACATAAGTGATTTTAACTTTGTGTTTACATATCTTTGCTTGTGCAACAGAGCCAGTGTTTTACATCTGGGTTCTTTAGGAAAGCAAACACTTTCCTAAACTCCTTTGGTACAATACTGCCACCTGGCGTGGTAAGAGAAAGGGAAAACATGCTTCAGTTGAAAGTACAGAACTCTGTCTCATTATTTAGCATTCTGAAAAAAAATGAATGATCAAAATGAGCGGGCTACAAATGTGATGAGTTAAATACAATTTCAATGCTATCTGATCATGTACAATGAAGGACTTATGAATATCTGTATATAAATATCTCATAATAAAACAGCTTAATAAAACATTTTAGTAATTACTGATTTAAGTTACATTACTTATATTTTTAAAATATATTTTTATTGTTTGTTTTTTTTAGAGAGAGAGAGGAAGGGAGAGGGATAGAGAGAGAAACAGCCAATCGCTGCCTCCTGTACTCCCCCTACTGGGGTTCGAGCCCACAACCCAGGCATGTGCCCTGACCAGAATCAAACCATAACCTCCTGGTTCACGGGTTGACACTTAACCGCTGAGCCATGCCACAGTCACATTACTTACAAATAAAAATAAGGAGCTTTAATTAACAGCAAACATAATAAACAGAAACAGACTGGCAAATAGAGAACAGCCTGATGGTTGCCAGAGGGAAGAGGGGTTGGAGGACTGGGTGAAAAGGGTGAAGGGATTGGTATTGAGAAGTACAGATTGGTACTTACAAAATAGTCATGGAGATGTTAAGTACAGCACAGGAATATAGTCAATAATATGATAACTGTGTGCGGTGCCAGTAGGGTACTGGAAATATCAGGAGGAACTGACTGTCACTCTAACCACTATCCTGTACACTTGAAACTAATACAAAATTATATTGAATGTATACTGTAATTTAAAAATTTTTTTAATTTAATTTTTTAAAATATATTTTTATTAATTTCAGAGAGGAAGGAAGAGGGAGAGATAGAAACATCAATGATGAGAGAGAATCACTGATTGGCTGCCTTCTGCACGCCCCGCACTGGGGATCAAGCCTGCAACCCGGGCATGTGCCTTTGACTGGAATTGAACCTGGGACCCCTTAGTCCGCAGGTCGACACACTATCCACTGAGCCAAACTGGCTAGGGCTTAAATTTAATTTTTTAAAAAGTAGACATAAAAAATAAAGTATCTACAGAAACAAATGAGGCAACTCAGATAACTCTCAGATTAAAGGAATATGCAGGAAAAGGAACAGGAATAATAATTAACATTTACTATTTTTTCATCCATAAACATAATGTATTTACTTATGCTTCTTCAATATCTATTAATAAACTATAATTTTTCAAGGATTTCTTAAATATGCCCTAACCAGTTTGGCTCAGTGGATAGAGTATCGGCCTGTGGACTCAAAGGTCCCAGGTTCGATTCTGGTCTAAGGGCACGTATGTTGGTTACAGGCACATCCCCAGTAGGGAGTGTGCAGGAGGCAGCTGCTCGATGTTTCACTCTCATCGATGTTTCTAACTCTCTATCCCTCTCCCTTCCTCTCTGTAAAAAATCAATAATATATATATATATTTAAATTTCTTAAATATTTTCTGTTAGATTTATTCTTCAACATCATATATTGTTTTATTATAGACTAGAGGCCCGGTGCATGAATTCATGCAGCAGTGGGGTCCCTCAGCCTGACCTGTGGGATTGGGCCAAAACTGGCTTTCTGACATCCCCCGAGGGGTCCCGGATTGCAAGAGTGCACAGGCCAGGGCAAGGTACCCTACAGGTGCATGATCAGAGCTGGGGAGAGATAGGGGAGGTTGGCCAGTCAGGGAGGGACTGCAGGGGGGCTCCAGGGCATGTCCAGCCTGTCTCGCTCAGTCCCGTTTGGCCAGACCCCAGAGCCTCTGTCCGCTGCTGGTCAGTGCACATCATAGCAAGTGGTTGAATGGCCTTAGCATATCATTAGCATATTATGCTTTGATTGGTTGAACAGACAACCCTTAGCATATTAGGCTTTTATTATATAGGATTATAAATTTTGTTTTTTTCTTAATAAAATTGCATATATTTAGCATGTACAACATAATGTTTTGATATACATAGTAAAATGATTACTACAATCAAGCTGATTAACATATTCATTTCCTCAGTGAGGTGTGTGTGTGGGGGGGGGGGAGGAGCAGTGTGGTAAAAGCCCCTGAGATCTATTCTCTTAGCAAATTTCCAGTATTTGATACAGTATTAACTATAGCCATTATATTGCACATTAGATCTCTAGAACTTGTTCATCCCACATAATTACAACTTTTTACCTTTTGACCAACATCACCCCATCTCCCTCACCTCCCCAGAAGTAAGAAAGTGCCATCTCTTAGAGGAAATAGGCAACAGACCATTTAGCTTTTCCCTTTATCTTCATTCATTCCACAAAATAAATGAGTGAGTGAATGAAGCATGAAAGACAAAAAATAAAAGAACTGAAAAAGTTAAGATACCTGTAAGAAAAAGAAAAAAAAAGTAAAAAAGAAGCACTAGATCAGGGAGGAATGTTATAAAACAACATTCAGTCTCTAAATGATCAGTTATTCAGTCTTATTGAGTAACTAGTCAGATTTTTCCCCAGAGCTTGCAGAAGTGAACATGAAATCAGTCCATATTCCTTTAGAAATTGAGGAGAATTAGAGATGCTGGAGAGACAGCTCCCACCAAATATTTGGAAATGTTACCTAGGGAAGAAAGCTAGACTTCAGAAATTGCAGCCAAGTATGTTAGAATATAATCCTAGGAATGTTAAAATGTCCTAGATGTAACCTTTGAGAGTGTTGTAGGCTACCAATACTTAGTGAAAATTTCATTCATTTAAAAAATATTTATTGAGTAGCTTCTCTGTACTTTCATGAAGTTTACATGTTTTAGGGGCATGGGTTTAGGCAATAAATAATTAAGTATATGCCAAAATATTCAGCAGGTGAAGTATGACAGGAAGCACTCAAGATCTGGGTGAGGAATACCATTCATAGGATGTTTAGGGAAGGTCTTTCTTCTAAGGTGACTTTTGAGAAGACATTTGGAGAAGAAAATGAGACACTGGAGTATGTAGAGGAAAAACATTCAGTGAAAATGAATGGTCCTGAGGTGGGACAGTGTTTGATGAGTTCGCAGAGCATGAAAGAGGCCCATTTGAAGTGAAGGATGAAGCAAGGACCTCAGATGACATCTGAGAAGAGACAGAGGCCCTGATTATGTATGTGGGACCCATGGGTTATTGTAGGGATTTAGCTTTTATGATGAGAAAGATGGGAGGCTCTGAAAGGTTTGAACACAGCAATGGCATGGTCTTAGTTATATTTTCATAGGATCACTATTGTTTCTTTGGGGTCAGGGAGTGGGCTGGGAAGCAGAGTGAGCAATAATGCAAGCCAGATTTCCTCTCTACTCTCTCCCTTCATGGCAAGGTGCCGGTCTTGTTCATGGTAATACTCCTCTTGCCAAGCACAGTGGTTGGCATAATAATGACGGCTGAATGAATCTCTGACAATGGCCGTCATACCAGGCATACACCGGCGCCTGGGAGGAACTGTGCGCTTGTCCACATTAAAAACAAAGTCTATGATTAAAGTCATGCCTCAGAGGTGACAGAAGGCATGCAAATGGAAAGAGGCACCCTATCCAACCATAGTTCATTGAAATATATGCTTTGCCTGCTGCCAGTTCCCTTGAAACTCATAAGCAAATTTTACTCTCTTCTCACCCATGCAGGTCCAGATGGGCATGCAAAACTGAGCTAGGGTAACTGAGAATGTCTTGTTTGCATCCGTGATGCTGTGCCATGGCTCCATGGGAAGGCTGTTGCACAGAAACACCAAGGTTTCTTAAAAGCTTCTGCATCACTGAAGAGATACAAGCATCATTCTTCTACTCATATGATGAGCTTTTGTGTGTATCTAAGAGATATTCTATAACAGCAATTTCTCTCTCAGTTTCCTGCCAGAACTTTCCATGCATTCACTTTGGCATGGATCTAGAGCAAGAGCTAAATGCCTGGTTCAGTATATAGACTTACTTTCCTCTACTGGGTGGTATGTGAGTCTTAGGTTAGCCAACTAAGAAGAGACATCATGTTGACTCTGACTCCCGTCATAACTGTGTCCTATGAAGTCAAGACTGTGTTTCTGGTCCTTTCAGTCCTGGAGTTTGCAGTGGGGATTCTGGTCAATGTCTTCATTTTCTTGGTGTATTTTCGGGATGTGGTGAGGAGGCAGCCCCTGAGCACCTGTGATCTTGTCCTGCTGAGTCTCAGCCTCACCCGACTTTTCCTGCATGGACTGCTGTTTCTGGATGCCATTCATCTTACTCACTCCCAGCGGATGAACCACCTGCTGAGCTTCAGGTACCAAACCATCATCATGCTCTGGATGATCATAAACCAAGCCGGCCTCTGGCTCACCACCTGCCTCAGCCTCCTTTACTGCTCTAAGATCGTCCGTTTCTCTCATGCCTTCCTGCGCTGCTTGGCCAGCTGGATCTCCAGGAAGATTTCTAGGATGCTCCTGTGTACTCTCCTTTTCACCAGTGTATGCACTATCATCTGTTCTTGGGACTTTTTTAGTAGATCTCACTTCACAATCACAACTGTGCTATTCATGAGTAACAATTCAGAATTCAATTTGCAAATTGCAAACCTCAAGTTCTTTCATTCCTTCCTCTTCTGCAGCGTGGGGTCCATCCCACCTTTCTTGTGTTTTCTGGTGTCTTCTGGGGTGCTGATTGTCTCCCTGTGCCGCCATATGAGGACAATGAGGGCCAAGACCATGGACTCCTGTGACCCTGGCCTGGAGGCCCACATCAAAGCACTCAAATCCCTCATCTCCTTTCTCTGCCTCTTTGTGGTGTCATTATGCACTGCCCTCCTCTCAGTGCCTTTACTGGTGCTGTGGCACCACAAGATCAGGGCCATGGTCTGTGTGGGGATAATGGCAGCCTGTCCCTCAGGGCACGCAGCCATCCTGATCTCAGGCAATGCCAAGCTGCGGAGAGCTGTGGACAGCATTCTACTGTGGGTTCAGAGCAGCTGAAGGGTAACAGCAGACCACAAGGCAGATCCCAGGACACCAGGTCTATGTTGAGAGTGGACATGAAATGGGCCCTTCATGAATGCACATCCAGTTGTTCAGAAGCCTATTTCAACTTCTTCTGCAAACCATAACTGAGAAGTCTCTCCTCTCTACATCAATGAACTCACCCAAAGCAAAGAAGAATAAAATAATAAAGCTCTACATATGGCCTAGGCAAGTAGAATGGCATTGGTTCCCTAGGTTTGTTTTGATAAAATGAATAAAATAGAAAGGTGAGGTACTCAGTGTAAGTGCTTTGTATACTATAGCTTGTCAGTGCATGATATGAGCCAAACCATGAGAAATCAGGTCTTCTGAAATAATATCTAAATCCCAAGATAGCATGGTTAGCTTTTCACATGACTGTTAACCCTATTTCTTAAAGTAGATGCTAATATAGTGTTTGAAAATATTCACCACTATGGCAATTACAAAATCCTCCTCAAACTCCAAAGTTTTTATGGAAACATGAGAACAAGTATATCACCACTTCACTTCAAGAGGTAGTTCATTAAAACTTCTACAGGAATCAAAGGATGGGGTCATTTTGTCTGAAAATACATTGACTCAGAAATGTACATTCAACCTGCTGCAGGGCAGACATCTACTCAGTAGGCACCTGGGACACCAGCACTTTGTGTGTGCCTCTGACTCTGCTCCATTGGCCCATGAAGAAAGTACTTTGGTTCCAAACATTGGTCAGTCTACTGGGGAAGCTGCCAAAATAGCCTAGCTAAAAGGTATGCTTCTAGCAATTCAGCATTCTCTATCTGCCTGCACAGGAACCCAGCCCACAAGACTTTCCTCATATCAGATCCTAAAAGGCTCGGAAGAGAAAAGGGGTCGCAGACATAGATCTTGACAGACTTCAAAGACATAGCAGGACATCCACAGAGTCTCCTACTTCTTCTTTTTTTAAAAGAAATTATTTTTTATTGATTTCAGAGAGGAAGGGAGAGGGAGAGAGAGAGATAGAAACATCAATGATGAGAGAGAATCATTGACCAGCTGCCTCCTGCACACCCCACACTGGGGATCGAGCCCACAACCTGGGCATATGACCTTAATGAGAATCGAACCTGGGACCCTTCAGTCCACAGGCCAATGCTCTATCCACTGAGCCAAACCAACTAGGGCAAGGCTTGTACTTCTGCTAGCTGTAGGCACTGCTATGGAATGCTTCCTTCTCTCAGGCACCTGATCTTGATAAATCCAATTCCTCCTCTGTTTTCCCAAATATACTTTGCATCACCAGCAACTTCAACTTTCCTTGGTGGACACCAAAGTTGTCCAAAGTTTCCCTTAAAGGCAGTAGTCCCCACTCTTGGCTGTACAGTAAAATCTCCTGGGAAGCTTTTTAAAAATCTCAATGCATGCACAGGTGACATACTAGGTCAATAAAATGGAATCTCCGGGCATCATTTGTAATGCTCCCCAGGTGATTCCAGGGTACAGCCAATATTGAGAACCTCTGTTCTAGATGCCCTTTGTCATGACCTGGATGGTGTGGCCTTTTTAATTCCACTTCCCCTAGACTATTTGGAGGAATATGATCATAAAGGAAAAAATTAGAGGACATCCGTGTAGAGTTTTCCCTCTTTTTGCATAAGTGCTCTCTGGACAGGTCTCCATGATATTTTACTGATTTCTGTGGCTTTATGTTTAACATTATATTTTGATACAATTTCAAATTTTTAGAAAAGTTGAAAGAATTCTTCTAGACCTTTCACCCACATTTACCCATTATTGACATTTTGCTCCATTTTTCTCTCTTCTTCCTCTCAACCCCATCCTGATAACTCTAGTTCCAACCCAATTATATGTGATTTGCTTCATTCTTTTCTTACATATTTTAATTTCCTCCTCTAATATGAGAAGTATCTTCCATTTATGCTCAATACATTTGCATATTTGCTTACAACCAGAATACATAAAAAAGTGGTTTCAGAATTGCTATCCTGTATAACACTGCAAAAAGCAAAAAAGACTAAACTTCTACATTTGTTTACAGCAGTTTTTCCATTTTTAGGTAAAATTTACATATAGCAAAATACACAGATGTTAAATGTATGACTTGGTGAGGTTTGATAATATATACACTCATTTAACCAACACCCCAAATAAGATATGCAAAAAAAAATTTTTTAATATTTTTATTGATTTTTTACAGAGAAGAAAGGAGAGGGATAGAGAGTTAGAAACATGGATGAGAGAGAAACATCAATCAGCTGCCTCCTGCACACCCCCCATCGGGGATGTGCCAGCAACCAAGGTACATGCCCTTGACCGGAATAGAACCTGGGACCTTCAGTCCGCAGGCCAATGCTCTATCCACTGAGCCAAACCGGTTGCAGTGGTTCTCAACCTTCCTAATGCCGCGACCCTTTAATACAGTTCCTCATGTTGTGGTGACCCCCAACCATAAAATTATTTTCGTTGCTACTTCATAACTGTAATTTTGCTACTGTTATGAATCAGAATGTAAATACCTGATATGCAGGATGTATTTTAAGGGGTTGTGACCCACAGGTTGAGAACCACTGGAGGGCAAGATATGCAAAATTTCCATCAGCACGGAAAGTTCCAGGATTCCTCTTCCAGTCAATCACCACCCACTCACTAGGGGCAACCACTATACTGATTTCTTCCCATAGATTAGTTTTGCCTGTTCTTATATAGAATCATACAGTGAATACTTTTGTTTTTGCTACTTTCACCCAAGAAAATGTTTTTGAGATTCATCCTTAATAGTATGTCAGTCACACTTGTTTATCCACTCATTAATGATAAATATCTGTATTGCTTAGAGTTTGGGGCTATTATGAATAATTTTTAATAAACATTCTTGAATCCATCTTTTTGTGGCTATAGTTTCGATTTCTCTTAGATAAATACCCAGGAGTGGAATTCCTGTGTCATAAAGTTGATGTTCATTTAACTTTACAAATAACTGCTAAAGAGTTTTCCAAAGTGATTCTAGCATGTTATGCTCCCATTAACGTGCAAAGAAGTTGTTTACATTCTTATCAACATTCGGTATTGTCAGCATTTTGAAATTTTGGCCTTTCCAATTCTAGCAGAGGTGAATGCTATCGCATTGTGGTTTTAATTTGTATTTCCCTGAGAACCAATGATATGGAGCACCTTTTCATGTACTTCTTGACCATTTGTATATCTTCTATTGTAAAGTGGCTATTTGATGTTTGAACTATTTTTATATTGAGTTGTCTTTTATGTATTTATTTGTAGAAGTTTATTGATTCACAGCGTGTGTGTGTGTGTGCACGCACGGGCTTATTCTGGATACATGTCTTTTATCTGACAGATTATGTATTGTGAATAGTTTAACCCAGACTACGATTTGCCTTTTTATTTTCTTAATTGTGTCTTTTGATGAGCAGAAATTTTGAGTTTTGACAAAACCCAATTTATCATATTTTTCCTTAGTGCATTTTGTGTCCTCTCTATGAAATATTTGCCTGCCTCTAAAATGCAAAAATAATCTACTAAGATTTCCTCTAGAATTTTAATAGTGTTCACTTTTATGTTACATTTATAATTCATTTGTAATTAATTTTTCTATATAATGTTAAGTTGGATTGAACTGTATTTTTCCATATGTCTATCCAGTTATTCCAGTACCATTTTTTGAAGATTTCTCTTCCTCATTGAATTGATTTGACACCTTTGTCAAAAATCATCTGGCTGTATATTATGAATTTCTTTCTGGTCTCTATATTGTGTTCCATTGGTATATCTGTCTCTCCTTTCACCAAAATCTCACTTTCTTGATTATTGTAGATTAATGTTAAATATTGAAACCAAATAGTGTGAGTTTTCCAAATTTATGTTTTCCAAAATTTTTTTGCCTTATCTGAATTCAAAAATTTGGGACCAATTTGTTTATTTTTTTAATACCTGTTAAAATTCTAATCATGTTGAATCTAGATGTCAACTTAGGGGGACTTGACTTCTTAAAAATATTCAGTCTGACAATCTATGAATATGATATATCTCTTCATTTAGTTACATCTTTAATTTCTTTCAACAATACTTTATAGCTTTTAATGTAGAGTGCTTACATATCTCTTGATAAAATTATCCTACATATTTAATACTTTATAATGTTATTGCATATGCAATTTTTATTTTTAAATTATTTGCTGCTAGTATATAAAAATAGCATTTACTTTTATATATTAATCATGTGTCTTGTTACTGTCCTAAATTAATGTATTAGTTCTAGTAGTTGTTTGTAGGTTCTCCAAAATGTTATACTAAAACAATTGTGTCATCAACAAATTAAGACAATTTTTTTTCTTTCTACCCAATCTTTATGCCCTTTATATATTTTATTTAACTTATTTCATTGGCTGTGATCTTCAATACAATATTGATTGGAAGTATGCATCCTTGCCTCAGTCCTGATTTTAGAGGAAGAACATTCACTTTAAATATAATGTTAGCTATGTTTAAATATTATACTTACATACCTAATATAATCTTGATCCCTTATAGATCTCCTTTTTCAGATTAAGAAAGGCTATTTTTTAAAATATATTTTTTATTGATTTCAGAGAGGAAGTGAGAGGGAGAGAGAGAGAGAAACATCAATGATGAGAATCATTGATTGGCTGCCTACTTCACGCCCCCCTACTGGGGATCAAGTCTGCAACCCTGGCATGTACCAAATAGAAGCAGGACCCTTCAGTCCGGAGGCCAATGCTCTATCCACTGAGCCAAACCAGCTAGGGCTAAGAAAGGCTATTTTTATTGCTAGTGTGCTGAGAATGTTTATCATTAATGGGGATTGAATTTTATTAAAACCTTTTTCTGTATATATTGAGATAATTCTATGTCTCTTCTCTATTTTGTTAACTGATTTGCATTGAATAATTCTTGAATGTTAAATAAATCTTGCATTGCTGGATAAACCCCTATTTAGTCAAAATGTATTATTA